AGTGGCTCGCGCCGCGCCAATCAGCGGCCGCGCCTCGCACTGCAAAGGGGGCGTGGCCTCAGGTCCCGGGGCCGCCGCCGAAAGTCTGGGGCCGCGCTTACAAAGCGAGCTGGCGGCGGCTCTGCGGCACGGCCCGGGGGCCGCCGTTTGAAAAACGCCGCTGGGGGCGCGGACGCCCGCCTCGGGGCCTCGCGGTCCCGGGTCCGGGGAAGGTGGGTTTCCCGTTTTGAATCGGCTCGGGTCGTCGCAGCCGTTTGCGGGTTCCGGAGGCACGCCCCAGCTCGCCGCCCCCCTCCGTGCTCGGCAGGGCGGGTCCTCGTCCCCGGGCTGAAGGACACTCCAGCCGTTTGTCCTTTCCGGGCGGGCCCTGGGGCCTCCCAACAGCTTCCTCTGCAGCGTTCAAAGCTTGCACGTTTCACTGAAGTATTTGAAGTATTTATAGACGAATGCACTGGCCAAGGAAGCCTCCCGCCCCTCGCCACCTCCTCCTGGCCACCTACCAGGGACAGTAATTAGAGGGGCCCGCGGAAGCCGGTCTGGGCTCGGTTACCCGGGCAAGGCTGCACCCAACCCGCCTGCCTGGCCGCGCCTCGGACGCGCTAGCCCACGGGTGCCTCGGCTTGTGTTGTGCTGGAGAATCCCTTTCATGCTGACCCAGAGTCAGCGGCATGAAAGAAAAACGGGTGATCCAGGCAGGCCAGAGCTGCCTCTGGATGGATGGTCCGGGAGGCCCCCACCCTGGAGAACAGCTTGGATTGAATTGAGCAGGTTTTCCATTTTCACACATGCTAAGCTGCGGGTGTCACATGCAGTTAACTATAGGTCTGAGTACCTTGCCTTCACGGCGCTAGGCTGAATGAGATAGAGTCCCTGGCTGTGTCTCTGTTACTCGTATGTCATTACACCCCACCGTCCCTCTGTAAGCCACTTTTCACCTCTGGGATTCAGGTTATCCCTTTATGCTCACCCGGATAGCCTGATGTTCAGCATCATAGCACTGGTCTGTAATCTTCCAGATGGCATGGACTGAATGCTTGTGTCCCTCAAATTTGTCTGGTAAAGCCCTTATCCTGACTGGCAAAGTGGTACACGATTACAATCCCCCCTACTAAGAGGGCTGAGGCAGGAAGGTCCCAATATAAAAGAGTTGGATATATAGCTCAGTGACAGACAGCTGGCTTGCTTAATGTATGCAAGACCCTGGGTTCAATCCCCAGCATTGCAAATAGACACCCTGATCCTTGATGGTTTAAGGAGTGGGGCCTTTGGGAGCTAGTAAGTTCTTGACCCAGGCGTTCTGGTGACAGGACCAGAACACACAATGGAGACAGGATGAAGATGGTGATCACTTTCTGCAAGGGAGGATGCAGCTAGAAGGCAGCCTTGCATCGTCGGCCCCTCACCACCAGTGTGACCCTGAAGACAGTCTGATCTGACCTCCAGCTTCTAGGCCTGGGAGAGATAAATGTTTGTTGCTTAAGCTACCCTGTCGATGACATGTCATTAATTCCAGGCCGAATGAAGCATCTGGTTTTAAAACAACTTCTGCAGCATTGAGAGGTGAGAGACCCCCCCCCACCTCCCATCTCATCTTCCATCAGTCCCTTTGCAGAGACCACTAGCTGTGTGTGCAGTCTTGGTGCAGTCACCAGCCCTGCCTTCTGAAATTGTCACATGTGCTCCAGGACTTAGCACTCAACCCTCGCCTGTCTGACCCCACTTCTGGGCTTCTGTCTTTATTTTTGGCTTTATCCATTTAGTCTTTTCTAAAGGAATACATATTTTGTAGTTAAGAACTACATTTTAACCTTCATTAGATTCTGTCAGTAGCAAGCAGAATTCCGAGGACTGAAAAGCTACCCAAATTGTTGAACGAAAGAGTGGAGAGGCTGCCTTTAAGGAGAGACATACAGAAATGTAAAGGGTTATACCACTTCAACCTTGAACTCTGGCTCTCACAGATGTATGAAGAGTTATAAAAAGATATTGCCGTTGTCAGTTTCTAACGATTGTAGAGACATTCCCAGATATTCTCATAGCTCAGCAGCAGTGCCCAGAGTCTGGTCCCCAGAGCAGCAGCAACATCACCTGGAAACTTGTTTGGCAAACCCCACCCCCTCCTACTGAATCAAAACTCCCAGGGGGTAGGGGGCAGTAATCCGACTTTTAACCTGTTTGCCTCAATAAAGGTTCTGCCCTAATGGAGCATGCCTTCAGTGCACTTCCTGGCCTCCTAAGCCTTCATATGCATGAGAATCATAGATTCGTATTCAGAAGATCCCTACAGGCTGAGATTCTGTCTTCCAAATACACTTCCAGGTGATGCTCTTGCCTGAGCTTTGTCAACCACTCCCTGGATAGTGAGGTTAAACTATGGGCCTCAGAGGTGCTACGTCTCCAGGGCCATCTGAAGTCAAGTAAGTGTCTTCCCCACACTGGTCTGAAAGGATTCTCAGGGTGCATCCATCTAGAGGGAAACAGCAGCTTGGTCCATTGGTAATGTCTGCTGTAGGCACAGAAATAGAATGGGTGACAATATGTTTGCCATTTTGACGTCCTAGAATTGCCACCAAGGTCCTTCTGCAGGTTGTGAGACCAAGACTGTAAAATTTGTACAAATATGAATTCTTTGCATTAAAAGCACCTGTGGGCTGGGGAGATTGTTGGGTGGGTAAAACACCCGGGAAGCACAAGGATCTGAGTTCATCCCATCTAGAAAAGGAGAGTATGGTGGTGCTCACTTGTAAGGCTAGCACTGGGCACATCCCTAGGACTCCTGACCAGCCAACTTACTGGTGGGTTCCAGGCCAGTGATAGACCCTGTTTCAAGCAACAAAGTGGACAGCACCCATGGAAGAACTGAAATTGACCTTTGGCCTCCACGTGCACACACACACACACACACACACACATGCACACACACATACGTGCATGCAGATGCACGTGTACATACAAAAAGCACAACATTCTAGGGTTTGGTAAATGAAGGGGAACCATTCAGTTTAACACTGGGTCTTCCATAGGATGAAGTCGCACAGGTCTCTTTTCTTGACTGAACACAAGCACATCTTCCCACAAGTTTCCAGATGTCTCTTTGTGCCTCTTCAACCCTATGAAAATTGTATTTATCCTTTCCTGAAAATTTTTTCATCTTCCTTTTATCTTTCCTTCATTTTTATATTTCATCATCCAAACCAGACAAGGGGAAAAAGGTAGCAAATGAGGCAAAATGTGATCATTACAACACTGCTATTTAAGTCAGGTTAGCTCCAGTTATAAAAATAGCCTGTGAAAAAAGTAACTTTAAATCAATACATTTAGCAATCCCTGGTAGCGGAGGAAGTCAAGTGTTCACAGAAGGGCAGTCTGCTCTGGGGGGAACAGCCTATCCAAGAATTTAAAGAACATTTATGCTTTTTATCATGTGCGATATAGACAAAGATGAAAGCCAGAAACTGCCTACTGTTTTAAATCCCAGCTTTGACAACTCTTCTCTCTTCCGTCTCCTGACTCTAAACTTTCAAAATCTCCCAGATGTCTGTGATAGGCCAGTTTGAACCTTATCTCTGAAACTCGCAGGGCCAGTGGATGATCCTGAGTTTGGATGTCCCCTAGGGCTAAGAGTTGTCTTCCAATCAGAAAACACCAGCTGCACACCCTGCCCCCTGGTCCTCAACATCAGCGGCTGGTGGTTAGCTGAGAGGGGATTGGGATGCATTGCTGACCTACAAGTGACCAGTCCTATCAACCCATCCTTCATCTAGTTACAGACTCCATCTGCCTGACCTCCCAAGAAGACAGTTCTGAAAAGAGCCAAGAACATCTAAACCCAGCCTGTCAGGAAAAAATGCAAGGGAAGTCAGCCACCCCTGCAGACCCCCAGTTAGAGGACGGAAATGGTGTGATTCTCCAAAAGGGTATAAAAAAGTAAAACGTTTGTGAGTCTATTTGGGAATGGGAAAAAAATCACACCCGTTTATTGTCCTTGGTTTTCTAAGGCATAACTTGGCAGTTTAGGACACATCCCAGAGACAGCAAAATGCTTACTTCCAGTAGAGACTGAGTCAAACCTGCCCATCTTGGACTGCAGGGATCTGGACCTTAGGGCTTCTCTCTCTGGAAAGCCTGTTTGTTCATCCAGTGTTGTATTGCTGTCCTCCGAGCAGAACCACAGCCATCTTCATAGACCAGCTGCATCTGCTTGCAGTTGATCACCACAG